GTTAAAAGTCACAAATTAATATAGGGGCTGACCACCACCAAAAGTTATTATTGTTTCCTACCTACAAATTGATAATCATACCAACCAACTAATGAGCCCGCCAAATTTAAAATGCAAAAAAAAAAAAATTAAAAGTGAAAATCTATAAATAATATTAAAAAAGAGATTAACCATCCCCCGGACTTAATTATAGAATAAACCAAATTCATAGATTTTAAGAAATAATAGTTAATATCCTTAAACTTGTAAAAAAAATTGACTTTTCAATTTTACCCTTCACAAAAATTAACGACCACAATAAACTGTGTTTAGTAATTATAAATTGGTGTAATTAAGGCAGGATAATATTAGGGGGAAATTTAACTACCAAGTTTAAACTTATATTTAGGACTAAATAAGATTTTAGAATTTTTCATATATAATAGGACTAGAGAGACCGAGGGAGTATACATACTTGAGACAACCAATGAAGGCTATAGGAGGAATGAACAAACTGCAGAGAACTAGTAGGCAGAATCCACCTACCATTTGGCTACTTAGCCTTTGTTTGAAGCATTCATAAGACTTGAAGATATTGTTGAAGTCATTGCCAGGGAGGTCATTCAAGAAAACAATGTATTCTGGAGATTCATATGGTTTAGTTTCAATCAGTTCACAAGTCATAAAGTGTGTGGTCCTGAAGAACAACCTAGATCTGCAATTGCCAGGCTCTGAGGTTGTCTTTCTCTGTACAGGCATGTTATTGCTTCCTCTCTTAAGCTCTTAGTTAAAGAAATAACCTTTTTCTGTCCACGTATCACCAATTAATCATGAATATGCGTGCAGTGTTAAATTAATATGTATATTTATTAGTATATTTTATGAATTTTCTTATACCTTAGCTTCATGGGACCATGCAAGCAATCAATCATCAATCAATTGGGATGCTAAAAAGGATTTGATATGTGGCAAGATATATATACTTATTGTAAATAACTAAATCTATAATGAGACAAATTTTAGAGACTAAGTTTCATTATCCATAAAATAAATTATTATTTATATCTTTATACTATGCATTGCTAGACTTGAAAAATATTTAACTTTTAGACTTGTGTTTTAGTCCGAGTGTACCAATTTTTTTAATTAATTTTCACTCATTGCTACTAAAGACATTGAAATTGGATTGAAATCAAACAATGGATCGGACCTCGCGAGAGCTTTTATGGAAGAATGGCAGTTATGTCCAAAAATATTAAAATAATAATAATTAAGTTGTCAACAAAAGTTTTAAAAAATAAATTTTAAATATAAATTCAAATAGTTATAAATAAGAATTCTGGTTGTAATTTAAGAGTTATATTTGAAATTATAATGTTTTATATGTGATTGAAATTTTTATATTTGTAATTATTTGAATCAATATTTTAACTTATTTTTCATGAAAAAAAATTCAAGAATATACTTGTTATTAATTTAATTTTTGAAATTTTTTGTCATTTTTTCGGGACTAATTGAGGCCATCTACTTTGAAAGGAGTAGGACCAGGCCAGGAGAAAAGACATAGAAGGTATCATTTTAAGGATAATAAATTTTCAAGTCTCAATTATTAGTTTAACCAATTAAGTTTAATTTTTTTATCAATTTTGTCCCTTATATTTTCTAAAATTATCATGTGAATTCTTTAACTTTTAAAATATAAATTTGCTTTCAAAATAAACTAATGTTTAAAATATATTGATGACTTAGCAAGTATATATAGCTAAATGAGAATAAATTAACTTTCAAATTAGTTTTATTTTTTATCAATACAATCCCTTACACTCTATTTCGTTCTTTTATTTTTTAAAAACTTGAGATTCTGTTTTTGTTTTTGACTAAATAATAGCAATTATCTTCATTAATCACATGATTACTATCAATATTTTGTTATCTATATTAGAAAATTTTAGCAGCGTTGCCTCTTTTTTAATGAATAAGAACTAAATTAATGACTAAAATAAACTTGAAGGACTAAATTAGTAAAAATTAAAGTTGATAGAGCAAATCAATAACAGAGACAAACAAAAAACTATAAGTTACATTATCCCTTTTTTTTTTAATTTAAAGCACAAAGATATATTCTTCTATTGCCATAATATATTTTTTACCATTTAGCGTTGCCAACTAAGTGGGCTTGGAATATGGGTTAAAGGCTACTGAATTGGTTGAAGAAACTTGGTTAACCTTTATCTCTTCAAATCATTTTTCATTCATTTACTTGCTTGTCAATCAACCTTTCAATCTCTTATTCTCATTAGATTCACTATTCACATAACAATTATGTCTAGTGTGGTCATTACTTGCGGCACTAATCCACCCTGTTGATTATAAATGCAATGCGTTGTGGCATTTAATTGTAAAACTCTCTTATAATTTCTCATTTTCTTGACTTCCTTATTACCAACGTCATCTTCCAGCGTTAAATTATATCAACCTATATAGCATTAAAATTTCCCATGGTTTCAATTATATATGCACTTACTTAGCAATCATTTTCCAAATCAAGTTCCATCTCATCTTAATTATTACAAATTAAAAGTCTTCAAAATCATTAGTTTCAAACCTTATTTCATTTACTTTCTCACAATAAAATTTCTGAATATTTCATCATGCTTCTTATTCGTTATTGATTTCTTTGACTTTTCATCATACTTTCTGAATATATATATATATCCTCCTCTAGAATTTGTATTTCCTCTCTAAAGTTTAACATCATCTCTTACATTAGCCCAAAGAGTGCATTGCTCTAGGGCATATAACCGATAATAACATGTTGAATTTTACATCCTTTTCTCCCTCCTAAAGGATGCAACCCAACCATAAAATGAATAAGCATTGCAAACAACTATCTAATTGAAACGGAAGAACATGTGTGAACAATGGATATTGCCATAAAAACTATATGCAATGCAACAAGAATAAATATTTTAAACTTAAAAAAAAGTACATGAAACTACTATGGTGGAAAAGAATAAAAAAATTTAAATTACACTACCATAATAGAAAAGTTAAAACTAACAATTAAACTAATCATGATAAAAAAGAACAAGACTAATAATTAAAAGGGTCTACCATGATTGAATAAAATCAAGCACATTTATTAATGGTCAACCGTAGTAAGAAAAGGATAAAAGTAACTATTCAAACCTATTATGGTTGAAAAGAGAAACCTTTCTACATGAAAAACCATGATAAAGAACCCTACTGTCGTAGTGAAAATTATAAAGTTAAAATTCATTTTTATTTCTAAACTTTTTTCAATGAGCATTGGATACCCTGTATTGATAAATAGGGTAATTTTTTCATTGAACCATTTTTCCAACGGACAATGTTTCTTCTTAGTTTTTGGAAATGGAACAACATAACCCCTAGCTACCATTAGCAAATGTTAATTTGACTAGAAAATGACAAAAAAGAAACTCTTGGGTCCTTGTTTGTAATTTTTTGTCCTTTTCTGTTATTTTCTTCATCTTTTTTCTATAATTTTGCTGGTTCTTTTTTGTATTTTATAGTCAACAAATGTTTTGTAGAACTATATTGTATCATTTTTAAAAGTTAAAAGAAAACATTGCACAAATTAAAAAATGAGTTTAGGATGCTAGACGTTTTTGGACCTATAATTTATAGGCCAAATTATCCTTTAACCCATCTAATAATATGAACTATTTTGGGCAATATGGAATTTAAGGAATTATGAACTACACTGTTCATGACTTGATGCTAGCTCTCTCATAGTGACGATTTCCATACACACTGGTTTACTAAAACCCTGTATTAATTACCGTCTTATGGTTAATTCAACAACAGTGAACAAGTTGGGTGTTAGATGACCTATGTATACATATAACATGCACGCGTGGTCTGCCATCGTCATAATCCTTGTCCCTAAGAATAATAATCCTTTACGGCTCTTTTTTTGCTCATTTTTTGATGTTATTAGTCCCTTCTGTTAGATTATCTAATTAAGTTGGTCGTTGCCTGCTTCGACGGAACTAGAATTTTCCATATCTGAAGTCACACTCTCCTTTGCATAGAATCTCCAATGTGACAATTCCACAGCCTCTCGAAACCTCAACAGTGCGTAGTATCTCAAGCTACCTAACGTTTTTTCTTTTTAGGTGAACCTAATATTTTAGATATGTTTCTTAGACTTTTAGAAATGTACAATCAAGATATTAAAAGCTGAACCAGTTATTGAACTGATTAAGAAAATAATTTAAAAGTCAATGGTTCAATCAGGGATTAACAGAGTTAGGTCAATAATAATTAAATTCATATATTCCAATTCAAATAAACAAAAAATTCATATTAATTAAATATGAAAAGCAGTAATATTCAAATAAAAACATTCTTAATTTTAAAATAAATAAAAAATCTATCCAGAAAATCTTATACGAATTTTAATTATTAGTTTCTGGAAATAATAAAATACAACAAGATTAAAAATCTTAAATAAAGGATTTAGATTTGATTTAAAGATCAATATGTTAAACAAACAAAAACAATAAACTACTAACTATCCCTTTATCATTCACCTCCTCCTGTGAAAGAGGAGAGGATGATCAAATATGCAAAAATTTCCTTTTAAGCTATGAGAATACCCAACTAAAAAGTCAGCATGGATAATTACGTAAAGACAGAAATGATACAAATTTAGAGACCAATCTTTGTGATAAAATAAACGAAACTACAAGAAAATAGTCTAAACAAACAACAAACAGAGCAAGCCCTAAAGAAACTAGTCAGGAAATTACTGTTCTCACTAATGTTATTATCATCAGCAATTTTTTTTTTTCTAGATGACCAAAGCCATGTGAATATACTGCCTCCAAAATACGCGGTAGAAATCTACCTAACAGTTTTCTATTACCTCAATTTTTAGGTAAACCTGATACACACACATGTCAACTTCATCTTTTAAAAAATATGAAAGACAATTCACATATTGGACAATTTTAATTTTCCTAACGCTTTACATCAGCAAATAACACTACCTCACATAATTTAACATATCTAAAATTAAAAACGTATTATTTTAATATTAATTACAACTGTATATTTTAATCATAGTTCAACTATTGACTTTTGAACCGATCGGTGCCATGACCAGACCAATTAAAATCAAACAGACACAATCCCAGAATGAGAAATGAAGACAGATAGATGGTTTATTCGTTACACATTGCCAATATATTATAGAACGTAACCATATATGTTGGCTTCTTTCAAATTGTTTTGGTCGAAGATAAGGTGAGAAAGACAAACATAGTTTTCTCCTTCACCAAATGATCAGCTATTATACACTGGTAACGAAGAAAAAGATCATCCATAATAGCTTCTCCGAAGTGGCTCGCAAGTAGAGGTTCCGCTACAGCTCTTATAAGCTGTGCAACTTTGAATCCACTATTATTATCATTGAGTTCTTCACCACATGCAGCCTTCCAACTTACATCAAATGCCTCCAAGCGATTCAAAGTGAATGACCCTTCTTTTTCGATCTCTAACTCCAATTCAGAAGGGCATGGATAGTAGACAGGAAAGTTGAATGAATCTATCTGATCCTCCTTTATGATTCCCTACACCACTCACCAAAACAAATTCTTCTATCATGATCTTTTTTTGTAATGCATTTAGTAGAAAATTTCTGTGTTCAAATATATATATATATATATATATATAGTCAAATTAAAAAAATAGCGAAAATGACAGTTAAAGACCCCTCAGAACATTAATTACGTTTAAGGACCTTGAAATTTTGGGTTGTAGTCCTTGGTTTAAATTAAAACTTTTATTTGTTCTTGTATTTATATTCTACATTTTCAATACCTGGCATCTACATATTCAGTACTCAGTTTTTCACTTTTTTTTAGTAGTTGTCTTGGATATTTTCAAAACTCATGATTCATATTTTCTCTACTAAAAAGAATAAAAAATAAGTGTTGGACATATGAAAAATGAATATCAATAACATTTAGGGTTAATATAAAATTTAGACCTTGAACTATAGATTCAGGAATGATTTGAACCCTATGCTAGTAATTGGTATATTTTGAATCTTAAACAATTAAAGCCAGTGCATTCTCGCCCACACAATTAATTTGAAACTAACAACAATTACTTTTTAAAGATAGTGGGGCCCACATTCTCTATCTACTATATGTTTAAAAAGTAATCGTCATTAGTTTCAAATTAACGAGGGGGGAGGATGTACCAATTTTAATTATTCAAGGTTTAAAATGTATTAATTATAGGTATATGGTTTATATCGCTCCTGAACCAATAGTTCAAGGTCCAAATTATATATTGATCATAAGATTTAAGATGACTATTGAAAAACTAAGTATTAAAAAGACTAAAGATGTGTGCTATAAATGTGGATTAATAATACTAAGTGCTAAAATATTAGAAGCTAAGTATGGAAAATAGGAAAGATGAATATTGAAAAAAATTCCATTTGAAAAATGTTAATTTCAACCAAAGACCATAGTCTTTTTTTTAATTTCAAAATTTCAAGATCTATAATTGCAAACAACGTTGCTAGAGAATCTTTAAATATAATTTTTCCTAAAAAATATAAGTACGTACCTCCAAAACCATTTTTTTAAGTGCTGTAGCTAAAAGCTCCCAAATGTAGTTAGATTCGTGGCTAGATGGGTCGTCACAACTTCTTCCTATCAATGTAAGTACCATATGGCCCCCTTCAACAAGTTCTTGAGCACGACACTTGAGAAATAATGAAAAATCTCTTTGAAATTGGTGGTAGTATGCCTTTCGGACATCTAAAGGGCTTGTGCTTGCACTGTAAATATTGCCCTTATTGTTCTCTACACTTTCGGGAACCTATGCCAATGAGAACACAAAAAATAATTAGTTTAGAGGGGGGGATTCATAAATTTTTTTCAAGAAATAGAATTTTAAAATAATCAATATATATATATATATATATGTATATAAGAATATAATACATAAAAAAAATGTAGAGGCCAGTTGTGAATAATGCAACTAATTTTGGATTCTATATATGCCACTCCCAGATACACCTAATTTTAATGAAATTTATTAGAAGTAAAGGGGGGAAAATGAAAATTTTAAGGAGGCATGTCAAGGCTTTCTCTATTGAAGTAAAAAATATTACAAACAAGTTAATATAATTGGCATAAGTTAATTTATAGGGGGTGATCGTCTCGACATGGTTACTCTCGGTTGAATATCATGGAAGACGTTTTGAAGGAATTGGAGGTGGAAAATAGAATAGAAGCGATGTTAATTATAATCTTTCACTATTCACGCACATCAAAATTGAATTGTGATGGAATCGCAACGCAAGAATTGGCTACCATGAGAACCTTAGTAAGTAGTAATTAAAAATAAAATTCAGAAATCACAAACAGAAAAACCCTTGAAATTAAAATTAGAAGTTGAAACAAGAGTTTAGGGGGTTTGGTTTCAGTGCTATCACCTGATGAGCATTGTGGGGCTCATCAGGGTGATGAGATATAGACTCTCCATATTTTAATATAGACAGTCCAAATTTAAAATTTTTATTTTTTATTTTTATTATATATATTAAAATAAAAATTATAAAAATTCTAATAAATCTATGTTATCATTAATTTGGACAATCCATATTTAATTTAAATTATCCAAATTTAATATTAAGATTTTTTACAACTTTTAAAAATTGAATTTGCAAACTCGACATTTTAGATTTAAAAATTTTAACTTCCAATTTTTTTTTGAAATTTTTATTTTGGATATTATCTTTATTTTTAATATTGTATTTGAAGAAACTAAAATTTTTATAAATTATAAAAAAATTATTATCAAATATAGACTATCTTGAGTATATCTAGATTAATAAAAATTATAAAAAACTTTTAATATTAAATTGGAGTATGCATATTGAATCTATATTGTCTAGATCAGTGATAATAAATTTATTAAAAAAACTTATAACTTTTCATTTTAATAGATATGAAATAAAAATTTAAAGAAAACCTTAAATATGGACAGACCAACTTTTATGATTCTTGAGCATTGAAGCTGATTCCCCCAATTGAGGGGGAGAAGGAGAATGAGGTTATGTGATGAGCATCAAAGTGTTCATTGCTCAGATGAGATTTGAATTTTTTTAATTTACTTTAAAAAATTCAAATCAAATTTTTAGATTTATATTTCTTAGTCCAAACGAGCAAAATTTTGTTCCATCTTTAGTCCATACTTTAATTGAACCAAAAGGGACATAAAATTATTCCAAGTACATAGGATTGATAATCCCACACACAGTGAGTAACTAACAAATTACCGCACTTTAATTAATTTCCAAATATTGACAATAAATAAATTCTCAATAATCTTAATAGGCAGAAAAACATACTGAATAATCTTTCAAAGAGAGAGTGATCATTAAGTATGCACACCTGAGACATCCAATGAAGACTAGAAGATGAATGAACAAAATCCAATGAATTAGTAGGAAGAATTCTGCCATAGAAAGAACCTGGAACCCCAGTGATGTAGCATTGATCAATCCCACCTATCACTCGGCTACTCAGCTTTTGCTTGAAGCATTCAAGAGACTTGAAGATATTGTTAAAATCGTTGCCTGGGAGGTCATTCAAGAAGATGGTGTATTCTGGTGATTCATGGTTTAGGTCTCTACGTAGCTTCTCCACAATTTCAATCAGTTCACCAATCACAAACAAAGTGTTTGGTCCAGAAGAACAGCCCAAGTCAGCAATTGATAGGGTTCGAGGGACTCTTTCTTTGTACAAGCAAGTTATTGCTTCCTCTCTTGTAGGTTTAGTTAAAGTAATCACCTTTTGCTGCACATCAATTATGTAGGTGTGAACACACACACACACACACAAACAACAAACAACTAACCATCTCTTTCATCATTCACCTCCTTTTGTGGAACAGAAGGGGATGATCAAAGATGTAAAAATTTCCTTAAACCCATGGGCCCAACACAGGTTATTAAGACGTTGGATGATTCCAAGAATTTCAGCTATGACAGGAGGATCAACTGAGAGCTTAGAGCTATAACCTCTAACCATTCCCCATTTTGGTGCCTAATGATGTTACCACAACCACTATTTTAAAGCATGCCATATATACTTGTTGCATTCTTGGAGACATGCAAACAGTTGGAATGCTAAAGAGGATTTGATGAAGATAGGTATTAACCTGTAATAAGGAATTATTAGCATAACTTGCTTCTCCCACGCCTCCATTCACGTGCAACGCTGAAACCACGCCCATCAATAACTATGTTCCTCTCAGTCACTGGTAGAATCAATTTTTTTTTTGTAGTGGCAAGACCCAAACTACAATCGAGATTTATGTAGGAGGATTGATGATGGGCACTCCTATGAGTGAGTGGCACTCGTTACTTTCCCATTGCAGATGTGGGCCCTACGATCCTGTATATTAAGACCAAAAAATTCATAAACGACCAAAACTTCTGGAGAGATCTATACAGGTGGATTGGTGATTGACAGTCCTAAGAGTGAGTGGCTCTCGTTACTTCCCATTGCAAATAACCACTATCATGCGACTCCAGAATTTGAAGATAAAATAAATATATGATCCTAAACAAATAATATTAAACCCCATATACTAAATCAACTCTTAATAAACCCTAAATCAAATCAAATATAATTTCTATCACTAGACTAGTCATTGAACTAGTCAAGGTACTAGTTTAAAGGTCAGTAATTCAACTAGAGATTAACCAAAAGTTATATCAGTCATAATTAAAATCATATATTTCAATGTAAATAAACAAAAATATTCATATTAATTAACTATGAAAAACAGTAATGTTCAAATAAAATTTATCCTTAAAATCTTATGCATATCTTATACAAATTTTACTTATAAGTTTTTGGAAATAATAAAATATAGCAACATTAAAAATCTTAAATAAGGAATTTAGATTTGATTTAGGGTTCAATATTTAGAAGAAGAAAGGGAAAAAGAAAATGAAAAAATAAAAGTAATTGCAAATTCCATTTACACTGAGATAATTTGAAATTCTAATCGTTTCAAACATCTTGTTTTCTTCATATTTTTACTAATGATAACTCTATGACTCTCATATCTTTTTTTCATCTTTTGTTGATTAAAACAAATAAAAATTAACTCATCATTTCTTATTTTTCATTTTCGTTTGGAATCTCTATTTATCTCTCTTCATCATTTGAAATTTTTTAACCTACCCAAATAAAGGATTTTAAATATATAGATCTCAAATGTGAGATTTAAAATTCAAAATTTCAAGAATTTCAAATCTAAAATCCAAATCTAAATCCATCAATTCAAATTCTATCTTAAATGATTCTGTTAAAGTATTAAGTGTGAATTGACTTGACTCGGTATGGGATAAAGTCTCACATCAAATAGAGTTACATTGTAAAAGAGTTATATAACTGGAAAAGATTCATATATTCAATACCGTAAGATTTTAAATTAAATGTTATGTCAAATTTATTTGTATGTGTCATTTTTTGGATATGTTAGATGGTCCATGTATTCTTGTTCCTTTCGACTCAAAAGATTCAAAATGAATGGCCCTTCTTTTTCAACCTCTAATTCCAATTCAGAGGAGTATGGCGTAGGTTCCAATACCGCAATTCAATCCATTCCACAGCCACAAGACCTATACAGTGTTTAGGTCAACTTTCTATGTTTACCTAACTTTTTGTAAGGTAAACCTAACATTTTAGGTAGGTCAACTTTTTTCCCCTGCTTTTCATAAACAACTTCATCTTTTTAAAACAAAGTACGTAGGAGGGCTCACGTGACAGTATTTTCCTCTTGCGTGATTTTCCTTCAGCAATAACTCCATCTCACGTATTTTAGGATTTAAAATTACTTTGATTACAACTAATTTGGTTATGATCAACCAATAGATCGTAAATCAGTATTATATCTCAACGGATTCAATGGTGTTTGGTTAGATTTTATAATATTGACTTTGATTTAGCCATCTATTGAAAATAGAGGCATAAAATGAATCAAATAACCAAATGAAAGCCTCTGTTGCTAATATTGAAGTTGATCAATCAATATGATAAAGAATAAGAGATTTATCGATTTTTTTTTTTCAGGATCTGAATTTGGTGAATGTCCTTGATCCTTTTGCTTGGTGATTGTTCGGCGTGATATTATGGAGAACGTCCATTCAAATCAAATGATTGCCAGAGATATTGGCACAAGATATAGAGAGAAGAACAAATTACAGTTATATACTTTTTGCTATGCCCTATACATTAATGTAAGTATCTAACTATATATTCATATAGTTGTAGACAAATGATTACAATGCATTCTCATAAAACCACTGTTTTATTCATTATTTCATTTATTTCTAGTCAAGTATAAATTTTCAAATGTTGATGAAATCTTACGGCTACAGTGTGTGTACTCACTGGCAAGAAGATTTGGGATGCTCTCTTGAAAAACAAGAAAATGTATTTAGTTCTATTTTGTTGTATTTCTTGATCTAGAATATTAAAAAAACTGATAAGAACAGATACTACACTTGATCTTAGCCAAAAGGCCGAGAAAGGTATAAGTGAAGAAACAAATCTGTTTCTTGATCTAGAATATTAATTACTTTGATCCGTGAAGAAACAAATCTGTTGGCACTGTGTCACAGCCCAAAAGATTATCATTGAAGAAAATGGGCCAGAAGAGTTGGGCCATAAGTCAGTAGACCCAATAGGGGTCGATGGACTCAGGAGAAGCAAGAGAATTCGGAGACCCACATTTCATGTCCTCTCTGACATCTTTTTCCTGTCCTACCGATTTCATTTCTCTTTTATGTGCGTATTCTTATTACGTGAATATTTCTTTCTGTACTGAGAATTCTGTTATGAATTTGCTGCTATGACAGTTCTCATTTGCTAAATCAAATCCATCTTGCTGTTGCCATTACTGTTATTTCTTGGTTCTTCTTGTGACTGTGACAAGCTGTCAGCATCACAAATTATTTGGACACAATATTACTCAAGTACTAGAGCGTTTCATTAAAATCAAGCATACACAATCAGGAAAAAAAAAAAGCAATAATAAAAAAAATGAGGACAGTCATATAGGATTCGATAAAACACTTGCCCCCCTTTTTTTCAAAAAAAAAAAAAAAAGAAACCTATATCATATGTTGGCTTCTTTAATTGTTTTGTCAAAGATACAGCAAGATTATATAACACAGTTTTTTCCTTAGACATGCGATCAGCTAATATATCCCGGTAATGTCGAAAGACGTCGTTCATGATAGCTTCCCCGAAATGGCTCACAAGGAGGGTTTCGATTGCAGCACTCACAAACTGTGCAACTTTGAATCCATTGTTATTATCATTGAGTTCCACATCACATGCATCCTTCCAACTTACATCAAATACCTCCAAGTGATCCAAAGTGAATGGACCTTCTTGTTCAATTTCCAATTTCAATTCAAATGGCCGGGGACGGAGTGTAGAGAGGAACGTTGAATGAATCCATTTGATCTTCCTTTATGGTTCCCTACACCAATCACCAAAACAAATTCTTCTCTTATAGACATTCAGTTTTTAGGGAACGACAACAAAGTCTCAACAGAGAGAATTAATAATAATTAAGTTTTTATAATGTTCTTTTGTAAGTCCTAAAAGAGATAATATCTTCCCTAATGTACTAGAAGTAATAGATATACCTTTTCCAACTAAATTACTACAAACACGAAAGTTGGGATTTGAACCCCCAACACTTCCTTAAAAAACAAAAGCATATACCACTCACACCAACTTTAATTGGTTCAACAAAATTTTTAAATAAATAAGGTACAAATATTGACTCATACAACTGAAAACATAAATTCTAATTCTATACTTAGAGTCACATATAGAATTTAAATGTTTTATTTACAATCAAAACTCCAGAATTTTAAACTACTTGTATTGATATCTACAACTTGCCTTTTAGATAAATTTGTCTAGGACTTAATTATTATTTTCTCTTTTGGAACTTAACTATCATTCTTCCTTTATTTATTTATTTTTTGATGTATGTCAAAGAGAATTCTATATTTAAAAGGCTTACAAATAAAAATATAGATGTGCCTGCAAGAACATTGAGTGCGTTCGCTAAAAGCTCCAAGATGTTGCAAGATTTATCGCTTGATGGGTCGCTGCTACTTCTTCCCTCAAGCGTAAGGACCATACGACCTCCTTCAATAAGTTATTTAGCACAACACTTGAGAATCAATGAGAAATCTCCTTGAAATTCATGACAATAAGCATTTCTCACGTTTAAAGGACTCGTGCTAGCCATGCAAATATTGCCCTTATTATTCTCCACATCCTTAGGAACCTACATGTGTGTATGAAATTAGAAGAATTAGTTAGAGGGGCAGAATTTATATACCAATTATAACTATGAATGTTATTGTCAAGAAATATATTTTTAATCGTCAATGTTCATCTCAATACAAAACATAGAAGGCATTGGCAAAAGTGTTGAATAATACAACTCATTTTGGATTCTATACTGAATATACCAAATGTATATACTTATCGATACTGTATTTTTAAATTATTATAACAATAAAATTTATCAAAACTGATACCTTCGAATCCACGAGAAATAATTTTAATAAAATTCTTAAAGAGTTAAGGAGGACAAATGAATTTTAGGGGCATATTAAGGTTAAAAGTCACAAGTTAATATAGGGGCTGACCACCACCAAAAGCTATCATTGTTTCCTAGCTACAAATTTATAGTCATACCAACCAACGAATGAGCCTCAATCTACTTAATTTGCAAATTAAAAAGGCAAAAAAAAATAAAAAATAAAAATCTATAAATCATATTAAAAAAAGAAATTAAGTACTGCCCCGGACTTAATTATAGGACAAAGCTAACCAAATTCATGGATTTTAAGAAATAATAGTTAATATCCTTAATTCACCCTTCAGAAAAATTAACGATCACAACAAAGTATATTTAGTAATTATAAATTAGTGTAATTAAGGAACGATAATATTAGGGGGAAATTTAACTACTACATTTTAATCTTATATTTAGGACTAAATAAGATTTTAGAATTTTCCATATAAATGGACTAGAGAGACCGAGGGAGTATATATACTTGAGACAACCAATGAAGACTATAGGAGGAATGAACAAAATGCAGAGAACTAGTAGGCAGAATCCACCTACCATTTGGCGACTTAGCCTTTGTTTGAAGCATTTATGAGACTTGAAGATACTGTTGAAGTCATTGCCAGGGAGGTCATTCAAGAAAACAATGTATTCTGGAGATTCATATGGTTTAGTTTCAATCAGTTCACAAGTCACAAAGTG